CTCCGACCCCAGAACGTCTGGCTCCTGAGTGCAGTTTCGCGTGTTTAATCAGCAGAGCTTAGCATTACTGGGAGCAAAAAACCCAAGCCCATTTCACTAAAGATGCTGCGATGGGGACGGAAGAATGGGCACATATTTTCTTTAAAATGAACAATCCCAGTGTGTCACACTGCGGCTCTAAAACTAACAGCAATAACTGGAAGATTAAAGTAGAGGAGATGGAGTTTTATCTTTTTTTTTTTTACAAGCTGTCGTGAAGACAGCTGGAAGCTTTTTTTTATCTAAACATGAAGTCTGAAGTTTATTATTATTGACACTGTTTGAAATTGAAGGGATTTTTGTTTTGCCTGAATCACAAGTAGAAAACTGACTTTTGACAGAAACTAGTTTATCTACAACTGATCAGTGTTTGTCCTTTCACATATCTGTCTCGAGGGATCAAAGTAGTGCTCAAATTCCTGACATAAAACTCATCTACTCTATCTTCAAAACTACACAAACAAGAACTTTTCTTCAACTAAAAAAGTTCAACAACAGAGCAAAAATAAACAGAGTAAAGCAATAGAATCAAATAAGATTGTGGGATTAATATGCAAAGAACATGAGTAACACACACATTTGGCAATTAATTGCATTTGACTGGTTCATGTAAGTTCTATCCAATCAGAATTTTCAGAAATAGTCAACAGTGCATTTTGGCATGTCTTCTTTTCATATTTCAAATATTAACTAACCCTGATATGTACCCTAAGAACGCCTCTAAAATCAATATGCCATAACTTGACACACATTACGTGGCCATAATTATTAATGAGTGCAAAAAGCAAAGCTTGGATCCCAATGTTCTATTATACAACAGCGTCCATCTGCTTGCATAACAAGCTATGTGTAAAACAAAGAAAATCCATCACACCTAAGTTCATCTCCACACTTACTGATCGGGTTGCATGTTTTTTCTGCAGCAAATGTCTGACCTCCACAGAAAGCATTTGGGCCAGCTGGCATAGACCCCTCCAGTCAGACCCAAATAAAATACTTAATTTCTCATTTATTGCTGCTTTGACTTGATCTCATTAGCAGCAATTTATCGAAACAAATTCTATAAGTCAGGAGTCCCCTTATTGAGGTTTCAGATTAGGCCAAATATTTTCATCTCTAAACTTTCCAGCTTCTGTGGCACCAGTCCTGATGCATCATACAAAGCCACCAGGCATAATGGGCATGAGTTCATAACTCATGCTGCAGCATGACAATGACTGCGAACAAATGAACAGGACTCATAAAGAACAATTATTGCTGTAGCAGATGGTATGGCTCCCATAGAGAGCTGAGCTGAATCACCATGGGGGCATTTTGGAATAAGTGAAAAGCAAATGAGGACATTTTATTTATTTTTATTTGTGCTCTGCAAAAAAAATTTGACCTGCAAGCAGATTTAGAACTCCATTGCAAAATAAAAAGAGCTTTTCTCTGAACACAGCCATGCTGGATGTTGCAGTTTGCTTCTGGATGTTGCTCTGTTCTATGTCCATGGTCATTCTGATTTTGTTTTTGCTGATGCACACTTTCATTCTGAAGAACTGACCTATCAAAATGAGGACTGCTACTTCCGATAGCCTGGCTACTTATCACTCCTTGAAGCATAAATCATTTTGACCTGTTCCTTTATTTTTTTTAATAGACAAAGCAACCAAGATTGGAAGCATAAAACTCTAACTCCCAAAAGATTTCCATTCAGATTGAATGAATTTGCACAAAAGGTGAGGAGCTTCCGCAACGTGCTTTAACCTACATTATGACAATACTTTCTGAAGAGGGTCCAGTGAATCCACCAACCCCAGCGTGACTTCATATTTCCAACACTTTCCACTCTGCAGGACAACTAGGTTAATTTAGGATCACGAACAATTCTCAGAGAAACCTCTTTTCTTCTGTTAACAAGCACAGCTGCTGCATGCTCCGAATGCTGGTTCTCCCCTCAAAGGATGAGTAGGTTAAGTGGTTGGGAAGAGAACACATTAAATTTACATGAAAAATGTGAATTTGGTTTTAGGTCAATTCTGTTCCAGTTGCATGACTTCACTAAACCTTTTAATGTTTTTTTAAATGCAGTGAAATCAAATACATAGCATACACATTTAGCACAAAGCATTAATAGAATGAAGGAAAATTCATTTAAACTCAATCCCTTTAAGAAATCAGAACATGTACTACTGTATAAAACTTTTACCATAAAGGCCCAAACATTTGCATTCCTCTTTAAATGTCGGTCCTGTGAAAGGTGACGCAATCTCTCATTCGAGTGACATTCCTTCTGAATTAAAAGGATTTGTACTGCTGTCAGTAGAAAAAGATCATTCAATCCGACTCCAATCTGTCACTCACATTTTCTTAATTGGTTCACTGATGAAGCTTCTTCCCTCTTCCTCATTACAGTCATTAGAGGTCCAGGTTTAACTATCTTTGCTCCGAGCGAGGCAGCTGCAGCCAAGGCTGGATTCTCCCCTCTTCAAATCTATGTCTGCCCTCCTCTCTTATTCCATGTTGTGGCTTTTTTTTCTCTACCAGCTGATCATAAATCAAACATGGGTGAACTTTGTTAAAGGACCCACTTTTAGCGCTTTCTCTTTTTATAGCCTTGCTCTCTGAAGAAAACAGATCCCGGCCCTGAGTGCATTTCACTGACATGAACATGCACATGCAATGAAATATTTCAACCATATATTGAAACATAAGCTTTTAAATGAATTGCAATGTTTAAATTCAGGACATTCCCATCTGGACATCACAGTCTGGCTTTTCATGTCATTTGGAGAAGTAGGTACAATTCTCTACAGGAAGTGTAACTTGAAGTAGAGATAAAGTTGAACTTATAAGCCTAAGGAAACCCAGAGGAGCTGTCATTGAATTTCAGAAGAACATGGCTATAGAATAATCTTCTATATTTGTATTTCCACTTCAGCGAGTTGCTGAATCTGTAGTGGACCAGCACTATGGGAGAGGTGACCGCTATATGCTGCTTTATGGTTGAGGGTAAACAGCATTTCTGGTGCTGCACTATGCTGCACTGTGCGCAATAAAGTCTTCCCACTCCAAATTTACTGTTCTCTGAGATCCTAATAAAGGCTGAGCTCTACTTAGGGTGATTAGTGGGATTAGGATTGTT